AAAGTGTAATTTAAGTGTATTTTTAAAGTGTATGTAAGTGTGTAAAGTGTAATTTAAGTGTATTTTTAAAGTGTATGTAAGTGTGTAAAGTGTAATTTAAGTGTATTTTTAAAGTGTATGTAAATGTGTAAAGTGTAATTTAAGTGTATTTTTAAAGTGTATGTAAATGTGTAAAGTATAATTTAAGTGAGGAGTAAACAAAGTAAGAATTTCATTGTTCATTCACATACGACAATAAAACTCTTGAATCTTGAATTTTTCTTCCTCACAAATGCAAAAGATTTAAAGTAGCTCAGGGTTTCCCAAACAGAGCTTAGTGAGTTGATGACAAGCTAATAATTAAATCCTAAAAATATAAAATAAATATCAGGGTTCACGTGCTGTAAGACCTTCAACAGCATGGTTGAAAAGATATTAGATATTACTTAGCAAGTCTCTGAACACCTAAATTGGGGATGAAATAGACCATTTTAGGTAATTTATCATAAAAATATAGACTTTTTGAGCTTTATAACTGTTACAGTGATACCTAATTATCTTTATAAAAGTTTGCACGTCCATATTTTACATTATCATTATAGCCATCCAAATACTAAAGTTTTTGTTCTTTAAAGTTTTAGTTTTTTTGGATAATTATTGATCTAGGGATCAAAGATTAGCACTACACTGGTTTTGTTGACAATGATGAAAAAACCAGGACTAGTTCGCAAAAGTTTTTTTTTTTTGGTCTGTCCAATCAGTTTTAGGGCAGAATAATAATAATAATAATAATAATATCATAAAATCTAAATAATAATACAATTTGCTTTGTGCTTGAACCCCTAATGAATAAATAAAAAAATAAATAATACATATATATTTGTTTACCTTTATGTCATTTGACCATTAACAATCTTCAGAGAACCGTGAATAGTAATAATTATAATAATAATAAAATCATAATAAAATCTTGAAATCTAAATAACAATCAAATTTGCTTCACTCTTGAACCCCTAATGAATAAATAAATAAATTAAATAATTAAAAAACTATATATATACATACATACATACATACATACATACATACACATGTATATATTTATATATTTACAAATATATAACAGATATACATAAAATATAATATTTACATTATATATATACACACATATATATATAAACACATATATATACACACACACACATATATATTTACATATACATACATACATACATACACATGCATATTATATATGTATGTCAAATATATAACAGATATACATAAAATATAATATTTACATTATATATATACACACATATATATATAAACACATATATATACACACACACACATATATATATATATATATATATACACACACATGTAAATATTTCTAAAATTTATATATGTGTGTATTTATATATACATATAAATATACACAGTACACACACATATATCACGATTAATCGACTTGACAGCCCTAAAACATATATATATATGTATGTATTGTGTGTTGTTAAATGATTGAAATATCAAATTAAAACCTCAGGGGGGCTTAGAGTGAACATTTCAGGTCAAAGGTTTTCGGCTGATAAAAACATTCATGAAGCCCTGTTTTGTGCACCTGTCTGAAGTGAATGTAGTGGTTGTGCTCATATGGGAAGCTGCCGTCAAAGTCTCTGGTGAGCTGCGACGAGTCGATGTGCTTCTGCAGAGCTTTCAGAGACGTCAGGACTTCACACTGTACAAGAACAGAGAGGAGCAGCTCACATAAACACGAACTGACTCACTGAGACCTAGAGAACGACAGACAGTCATTTACTCACAGGAACTGAGACGTCTCGCTCCACTTTCACTGCTGCATCTCTGTCCATCAGAATCAAAACTGAGTAAAGTGCATTGGGTACGAGAGTCTGGCGGGACAGAAGAAATCAATGGGTGTAAATAAATCAAAAAGTTTCTATTTCAGTAATTTAACAACACATTTGCATGTTTACGGTTCTCTAATGTTGGTTAATGGTCACATGACATGCAGGTAAACCAATAAAATAATATATTTAGTGTTTTGATTTGATTTAAATGTTGCATTTTTATAATTATTTGATTTTCATCAACTCATGAACTCATATTGTACAGGCTAACATTAGGGAAAAATTTAAAATATGGATATTTACAAAGACTAAACATATTAAATCAGGGATTCCCAATTTTTTTGTCAGAATGTTTGAATTTGTCTGAATTCCTTAAATTAATATTTCAATAATTTAACAAAACATTCACATATTCATGGGTCTCTAATGTGGGTTAATGGTGACATGATATGCAGGTAAACATAATATTGTTTTATCCTTATAGTTTTTATTTTAGTTATATATTTATTTTAATTTGACATTTTTATGATTTAATTAATTTTTAGCAAATATTTTATTTTGATGATTTTTATTTTCAATTATTTATTTTAATTTAGCATTTTCATGATTTAATTAATTATTAGTTAGTATTTTATTTTGATTGTTTTTATTTAGAAATCAATTATTTATTTTAATTTAACATTTTATGATTTAATTTATTTTTAGCAAATACTTTATTTTGATGATTTTAATTTTAAATTATTTATTTTAATTTAGCATTTTAATCTAATTAATTATTTGTTAGTATTTTGATTGATTTTTATTTTTAAAAATTCTTTATTTTAATTTAGCATTTTTAAGATTTATTTATTTTTTTGCGTTTTGCCTTCAGTTTGGGAAACCCTGGTTTAGATCATTTATTGCGCAGACTTAACATTTGGGGGAAAAAATCAAAGAAAAACAATTACAACGACTAGAGAGTTTAGATCAGTTATTGCATGTAACAGTGCTAATAAGAACATATTTAAGTTGAGAAACACTCCTTTCTCGTCCCTCTTCTCTCAGTTTTTGCATGCTGGGGCTGATCATTTTCTCAGAGTGTTTTCGAGACATGCTTGCACAGGCCTCGTCTCAAACCCCGAGGACAGACTTTCCTTCAGATATTTGACATGAACCATGCATACAACAGTTAGCGTGCTGAAAAGAGCCTCAACTTTACACTCAGAACCCTCTCGACGCGAGTGTGTGAACACAGACGCTTTTCTTACATCACTGCGTCCTAAAGCGTGTCAAAGGTTTGATCGCAGCACAGTAATGCAAGAGCGTGGTTCAGTGCATTGCAGTGCTTCTGGCTTTAGCGAGCGAATAAGTGACGGACAGATCAATGTCTTACACTTGAGTGGATGCATTCTGATTTTACACACCTGTCAAAGTCTATACCAATTCTTTGTGATTAACTGGAGTGACTAACAACCAAACCAGACATTGATGCCAATAATTCAAACTAAAACTGAAACTAAAATTCAAACCATTAAAAAAAAAAAACATTACTTGATATAAAATCAAGTATAAAAAAAGCTAGTTTCCTAAGCAACAATTTGTTTATCATTTAGTTTAACTTGATGTACTAAAATAACTAAAACTAAAATATGAATTAATTAAAACTATATATATATATATATATATACTGTATATATATATAAACCTAAAACTATTAAAAATTACAAATGCACACAAAAAAATAGCTACAATTTTAAAATAAAAAAAGGAAAATATAAAAATAAAAACTGATCCAAAACATTAAAATAATAGATTTATAACAAACTATAATAGTAAAAAAAACGATAACTATATAATAACCAGTGATGCACACTACTCAACGTTTTTGTCAAATTTTAATTTTTTTAATATATTTTTTTAAAAACAGGCTGTCATTTACGTGATTCATGTAATTCATATTTGAATGTGAAGAAAGAAGAAGCATTTTTTAGTTGTGTTTTCAACATATTTGTCCGATGAACAAGGATGAACGTGCATATTTTTAATTTTATAATTATTAGCTCTTATAATATTTTATATATGATAAATATTTGTAAAATATTTTTAATAAATGTATAATTTGCAAAAAAAATGTATTTTACTGTTCATCTTTCTTTTTCTCGATATCCCCGAAATGGTCCTCGAGAACTTTACCTTTTGGGTCTTTTAAATCAACAAAACATTGGTCCCTGACATGGGTATGGCTTTTGTCTTAAAGACAAAAGATCGAGGGCTTGAGACGTGTGAACTGTGTCTGGTCTCACCTGAAGCTCAGACAGAGCCGAGAAGAGCGCAGACGCGACCGCTCGCCTGCGGGCGTCAACGAGAACCGTCAAACCCAGGTCTCGCTTCTCCCTCCTGAAAACAAACGCAAGACACTCAGTGAAACGTCTTGCAAAGAAAAGATGAGCTGCTGTCTCGGATCAGAGCGAGAGCACAGTTTCCATGTCGATTCAGTAAAGCGTGTGAGAGATTCGGGCCGCTTCTCACCGCAGTCTGTGGCAGTAGCAGCAGAGCAGCTGGCTGATCTGGTTTGTGGTGAAGCGCGCGTCTGTCCACACCTGGTTCCTGGTGCACACCTGCAGCACGGCTCTGCCACCGCGGTCCTGGTTACCTGCAGCAGGACGGTGAGATGAGGGCCTGATTAACCCAACTGAACACCGTTTGGGGGGAATTCTAAACGTGATTTGAATGTCATATGATGCAATTTCAATTGGTCCTTTCTCTTTGGAGTGTTACAAGCTCTTGGTGCATAAAGAAGATCTGTAAAGTTGCAAAGACTAAAGTCTCAAATCCAAAGAGATATTCTTTATAAAAGTTAAGAGTCAACCACGCCTACCTAAAACGCCTCGTTCTAACACGCCCCCACATGTCTACATCACTATGTGGGAAGATTTGCATAACGCCGCCCAAATGTTCACGCAAAGAAAGAAGGCGTAACTTTTATTCTCGCTGTAGTATTGTTGCTGCCGCCGTCATGTCGTGAAGACGCTGTGTGTTTCGTTGTGAAAGCGAAACTACTTTGTTTGGTCTTCCAAAAGAGGACACGGCTAGAAATCAGTGGTTAAGTTGTATTTACAACACTGTTCCAGAACACTTCAACCCAAATATCCAGATGTGTGCTGCACATTTTATAGAGGAATGTGTCCTGATCCTGGGAGAGTAGACTACAATGCCGGCAGTTCTGACTCACGTAAGTACGTTTTTATATTTAAATGATTTGCCACTGACGATTCAAACGTGAGTTTTGAGCAGTGTAGAGTAGCGCTTGTTGTTCGTCATTTCTCTGATCACAAATGCAGACATGGTTTTATGTTTACTCGGCGCGATGCAACGCAACGCGTAAAAAGACAGTATAAGTCATTATAATCAGTAATTACGTCCCCACTGGATGCAACGAATGCCTCGTTTGTAATGGGTTTTAATGTTTTTGTCTCGTCGCTCCGGCCGGACAGGGCATCATCACAGTATGGTGAGGGGCGTAACATTTCCGTCACACGCTTGAGGTATTCGGCCAATCACAACGCACTGGATAGCTGACCAATCACAGCACACCTCGCTTTTCAGACCGATGAGCTTTGTAAAAATCGACGCATTTCAGAAAGGCGGGGTATAGAGGAGAAACAATAATGTACATTATGTGGAAAATAATGTGTTTTTTAACCTTAAACCGCATAAACACATTTCATTACACCAAATACACAAAATAATGTTCTTTTTAGCAGCATCATATGACCCCTTTAAACAGTTCCAGGTTGGATGTGCTTATTTGTAGGGCTGCAGGATTTTGCCAAAACTTTGATTATATATTGATATGACTGTAAAATTATAATTATATTCTACATTTACTTTTATGCATTTAGTAGACCGTTTTATCCAAAGTGACTTTTAAAGAGGAGATAATAATAATAGTTATATAATTTAATATAATATAAAAAATAATTATTATTAATGATTATTATAATTACTATATAAAAACACTATACATTAATATGACTGTAAAATTATTATTATATTTTACATTTATGCATTTAGCAGATGCTTTAAAAAGAGGAGATACAGGATTATTATCTCCTTACAAAGAGGAGATAATAAAAAGATTTATAATGATACATATTATAATAATAATACTATCATTATTATTAATAATAATAATAATAAATACTACTACTACTACTATGAATAATTATTATTAATAACAATAATAATTATGTAATTTAATATAATATTATAATAATTCTTGTTATTAATGATTATTAGAATTACTACATAAAAACATTATGGTGAAAAACTAATAATAATAATAGAGATAATAATAATAATATGCATTTAGTAGACGCTTTTATCCAAAGTGACTTACAAAGAGATAATAAAAATATTAATAATACATATACATAATATACATAATACATAATACATGTTATAATAATATTATCATTATTATTGTTATTATTATTATTATTAATAAATACTACTACTGTGAATAATTATTATTAATAACAATAATAATTATGCAATTTTAATATAATAGGATAATAATTCTTGTTATTAATGATTATTAAAATTACTACATAAAAACATTATGGTGAAAAACTAATAATAATAATAATAGAGATAATAATAATATTAAATATAATAATTATTACTATGATAATAATAATAATAATAATTAAAATAATAATAATACAACTTTTATTAGTATATAATTTAATGATAATATTTGAATATAATTATATAATTATTATTATTAATGATGATTAGAATGACTAAATAAAAATATTAAATTAAAAAAATTAAAGAAAATAAGAAATATTGCTACTGTATTATTTCAGTCAAATAAAATTTGTATTAAATAATAATAATAATTTTATTTTACAGAAAAATCACAATACTAATATACTATAATTTCTTTGTTTTCAAATGAGCCTAATTTCTTCTTAATTTTTTCATTGTCATTTTTCATCAAGCCGCCTGAGACACTATGAGCTGCAAGCGTGTAAAAGAACACAGTGCCTCGCTTCACTCTGAAAAATGCAGCGTATAAATGTATTTAATAAAATCACAGCACTTGCCCAATTGCCCAATAATTGGTTTTATTCCACTTAACCATGCAGCCTTAGTCTTTGGTTTGCAATGAACTTAAAAAAAAAGCAATTTATTTTCATTTTTATAAGGAATATTATATGTAGATTAATTCTGAGTGTCTGTTTCTTTGGTCTTGTTGGTTTCGAGCCGGCCACGCACCGGGAAGCGTCAGAGCACCGGAGCTCAGGAGCTCCTGGTTGATGAGTGAGAGCAGCGCTGGAGCACAGACAGCAGGGGGCGCCGCGGACGGGCCAGGAGACACCGCTGCTCTGCTGGGGGGTTTAGGAGGATCAAACTCATCAGCGCTGTTACTGTTCCTCCTGGGGCTCGAGTGCAGACCCTCATCAGAGAGACCTGAACACACAAACACAGATCTGAGCATCACAGCTCATTATCACAAAGACTTCATGATGACGATATGTGACCCTGGAGCACAAAACCAGTCTTAAGTGTCAATTTTGTGAAATTGAGATTGATACAGATACAATAAATAAGCTTTCCATTGATGTAAGGTTTGTTAGGATCGGACAATATTTGGTCGGGATAC